ATCTATCTATCTATCTATCTATCTATCTATCTATCTATCTATCTATCTATCTATCTATCTATCATCTATCTATCTATCTATCATCTATCTATGTATCTATCATCTATCTATGTATCTATCTATCTATCTATCTATCTATCTATCTATCTATCTATCTATCTATCTATCGTCTATCTATGTATCTATGTATCTATCATCTATCTCTCTATAAGTTTGTTATTTCTACAAGTGGAGCTCCTCTACTTTTTCTCTTTCTTTATTATAAAAATAAAAATCTCTTTAGAAGTTGAGTATATGGACTGGTTATAATGTGAAGCACTTGGAAAAGGATAACATAGAAGATACACCATTCATTTTAGTGCCCTCTAAATTCGTGCACTTGATTTGACTTGACTTGATTTTTCTTCCAAAGGGATGAGTCATGCGACCACAGCAGGGAGAGCAACACGATCCTGCATACATGTGCATCTAAATTGAACAGTATCCATAATACCCCATTCCTATCAAGTTGATTCCAACTGATAGCAACCTCATTGAACCAAGTAGAACATCTTCTTAGGCTTTCCAAAGCTGTACATCTTTTCAGGCCTAGACAGCATCATGTTTCCCTCAAGCAAATGTTGGTAGCTTTGAACCACCAAACTTGCAGCTAGCAGACTAACACTTAAACCCACCAGCCACCAGGTTTCCTGGTGTCCAGAATAAAATTGGAAACTCACTGTCATCAAACCAGTTCCGACTCACAGCAACTGTCTAGGACAGGGAAGAACTGCCCTGTGAGTTTCGTAGACTGTAATTCTTCACTGGAGTAGAAAGCCAGGTCTTTCTCTCAAGGAGTGGCTGGTGGTTTCAAACGAATGACTTTCAAATTAGCAGCCCAGAGCATACACCACCAGGGCTCCTGTGTCTAGAATATCCTTAGCCAGACCAACCAAATTGTTTACGTAGTGACTAATAAAGATATATATCTTCTAAAAGACGTTTACTTTTTTTTAATAACAAGGTGAGTTTTACCAGTAGAAGGAAAAATACACCTGGTTTGTTACTTGTTCTTTTCTTCTGTCATATGACACACAGGAGGCCTGGACGGCCCTTGTGGCTTGGTGGGTTTCACCTTGGGCTGCTAACTGCCAGGATGTGATCTTCTGTACAGCACAGCAAAACACTGTCGGACCTGAGCCATCCTTACAACTGTTTCTGAACTTGAGCCAATTGTTGCAGGCATGATGTCAGTTCATCTTGCTCAGAGCCTTCCTCTCTTTCACTGTACCTCTAATTTACCAAGCATTATATCCTTTTCCAGGGACTGATCTTTCCTGACAACATGTTCAATGACTGTTAGGCAGTCTTAGCATCATTGTCTCTAAGGAGCACTTTGTCTGTACTTCTTCCAAGACAGATTTGTTTGTTCTTTTGGTAGTCCAAAATATTCTTTGCGAGTACCCTAACTCAAAGGCATTGTTTCTTCTTTGGTCTTTCTTATTCAATGTCCAACTTTCTCCTGCAAATTAAACAGTTGAAAATACCAAAGCTTGGGTTAGGGACATCTTCGTCCTCAAAGTAACCTCCTTGCCTTTCAACATTTTAAAGAGGTCTTGTGCAGCAGATTTATCCAATGGGATGTGTTGTTTGATCTCCTGACTTCTGCTTCCATGAGCATTGCTTGTGGATCCAAGCAAGAGGAAACAGTTGATCAAGCTAATCCTTGCTCCTTTTATCATCATATTACATATTGGTCTAGTTTTGAGGGCTTGGGTTTTCTTCACCTTGAAAGGTCACCCACACGAAGGCTGCAGTCCTTGACCTTCATCAGCAAGTGCTTCCGTTCGCTTCACTCTCAGCAAACAAGACGATCAGCTAGCTGTCACTAGCCTCTCTGTGGGAGAAAGATGAGGTTTCTACTCTCATAAAGACTGTGCTTGGGGGCACCAGTGTCTTATAGTGTTGGGTTTCCATACACAAAGTCAGCAGTTCAAAACCCACCAGCTGCTCCAATGGAGAAAGATGGGGCTTTCTACTCACATAAAGAGTTATAATCTCAGAAACCTACAGGGGCAGTTCTATCCTGTCCTATAGTAAGTTATTTGAAACAAGCCATATTTTAGCAAAACGCCTTGCTTCTAGGAAGGTGATTAATGAGAAACAAAATCAAAAACATTCTGTAGTGTATGTTATCTCTATTTTGGGACATGGTAAAAACCAAACGCATCGCCATCAAGTCTATGCCGACTAATAGCGATCCTAAAGGCCAGGGTAGAACTGCCAAGGTGAGTTTCCGAGACTGTAACTCTTTAGAACACTTCATCTTTGTCCTGTGGAGTGGCTGGTGGTTTTGCATTGTTGGGCTTGCAAATCACAGCCCAGTGCATAACCACTACACCACCACGGCTCCTGGGTGACAGGAAACGGAAAAGAAATTCTTATTTGATAAACTCAGCAAGATGTCCAGTTCATTCCCCTGCTTTCCAGTCAACCCTGTATTAGACAGCTTCCCACCCTGGAACACACTGCTGCGGAAGCCATGATAAGCGGGGCTGTGGACAGAGTCACGAGGGCGAGTTTCCAACCCTTCACCAAACCAATCGTCAGGCCAATGGAAAAAGTAGAGATGTTTTGAAAGAGCAGGACAAACTTGTCTCCGATACCATCATTGATCTTGTTGATGTCCCTGAAAGAAGCGAAGGAAATGAGTAAGCCATGTATAGGTCATATATTAGCACAAAGTCTATGGCTTATAAACCTATCATCTTACTCAGTCATGCGAGTGTTGAGTTCACCGATGTTACAGCCATCAAACCAGCTGATGTCCTGTGACAGAATCGCATGAAAAAACTGTTTTCGAATTCTCTTGGTTTGCCGCGCTGCAGTTATAACCCAAAAAGAAATCTGCATGTAGCCAAAAACCAAGGCAGTCAGTCCTATTCCAATATAATACAGCGTCAGCCTTAAAAAAAAAAAAAAGGTATTGCAAATGTTCAGATGATGGATGCACAGCTTTCTTCTTTGCTAACAAAAAAAAAAACAACTTAATGCACTACTGGAGTAAAGGCCACTGTGCTCCCACCTAGAAAGGGATGCTAATAAGCAACCCGAGGAGGAGTAGGATGATCCGTGTTCCCCTGCTGAGCGACGAGAGTGTCGCTCTCGTATTATTAGTGGACAACAGTCTTTTAAAACATATTTGTTAATCACCTTTCCCTTCAATTTTTATTACTTTCACTTGAAAAGTGGTCATTAAGATGGATGGAATTGAGATATCTGCATATAAATCAAGTGGTCACAGTAAAAAGGATTTACTTAAAAATTCATCTTTAACGTGTTAGCATCAGGAAACATGCACAAGGATTAATCTATATAGAATTTCACTGCATCATTAACAATAAAGCAGAAAATCTTGAAAACCATCTAAATATCCAACTAGCGACCAGATAACAGGTGTATTTATTTAATCACCATTTACTCAATGCACACTAGGAGCTCAGGTGCCATAATGATTACGAGTTGGGCTGCTAATGCCAAGGGCAGCAGTTGGAAACCACCAGCTCCTCCTTGGGAGAAGGATGGGGCTATCTACTCCCATAAAGCGTTATAGTCTCGGAAACTCACAGGGGCAGTGTGGCCCTGTCCTACAGGGTCGCTAAGAGACGGAATGCACTCAGCGGCGTTCTGTTTGGTTTGGTGGCAGTGCTCACTGGTGCAAGGTGATATCACAGCCACGAACAAGATCATTGTTTATATCTAGTGGGGGAAAAGAGCCAATACTCAAATAAAAGAATTTGAAATTGTTCTATGAGGCAGTAAACAGGCTGCTAGGGTGCTGAGTAATTTGTAGGCAAATACGGGTCTAGAGCACAAGTGCAGATAAGGAGAGTGGTTAAAGAAAGAGCTTTGTGAAAGGGAGGTTTAATCTGGTGGCCAAAAGAAGAAGAGGAGCCAGGCAAGCAAAGAGCAAGAAGAGGACTGTTCATCTGAGGCGATCCTTGGGATCCAAAGGGTTTTCATCGACTAACTTTCAGAAGTAGATCTCCAGGCTCTCCTCCCTCGTCTATCTTAGTCTGGAAATTGCTAACGCCTGTTTCGCATCAGGGCAACACCCACGCCTCGGCTGACAGACAAGTGGTGACTGAGCTCGAGCGTGTTGTTGGGAATGGACTCCTGGTTTCTCACAAGGAAGGCTAGATATTCTACCACTGGCCTGTCACTGACCTCCATCATGGGCACTTACAGTGTGAGAACATTATACTAGACACTTTACATATGGCAAAATTACCCTCCAGGACCATGAGATGTGAAAATATCGATGTTATATCTTCTAGATGAAGAAACTGAAGCCTACACCGTAGTTACGCAACAGCCTCTATAGCTAGAATAAGTAAGAGGCCATTATTTAAATCTGGAAACTGTGATCTGAATTGCCCGCAGGAAGTAGATTTGGGAAAGGCTGCATACTTAGCCCCCGGCCCCTTCCCACCCCTGGCCCTGTTAAACACTGAGTACAACCATGAAGAGATGTAAAAGTCTGAAAAAGAATATTGCAAAGAGCTTAACAAATGATCTCAGTCCATTGACCATGGACACCTGCCCCTCCTCTTAATGTATCCTCTATTAATGTCTCTCGGATGTGCTGAAAACAATTTAGAAATCATACTGTGCTATAGCTTCAAGTAGCAGAAACGGCTAATTATAATCTGTCAGCGAATGCCATCATATTACTATCTTTCTTACCAAAAGAGCTCTATCTTTTGAGTATCAGTATGCCCAGCTAAAATAGATGTGACTCTATGCCCAGTATCAGGCTTTGGTGGAACACCTGGTAAGGCTTACTAAAGAAAACTACTCAGCTAGGCTTACATTTTGGGGTGGTAAGTGGGGAACTTTCTTTTCTCTCTCCTTCTCGCTAATGACTGGGCTCTGACAGCTACTTTGGATCAAGGAGTGATGTTTAAGATAGAAATTAATGCAAGGAACAACAGAAGGATCCTGAGTCTCTAATAACTATTGACCCTCATTCCATCTTTTACTATTTTTGGGGCTTAAGTGGAGAGCAAATGTTTTGAGAATGATGAGGGCAATGAATGTACAAATGTGCTTTACACAATTGATGTATGTATGGATTGTGATAAGAGTTGTATGAGCCCCTAATAAAACGATTAAAAAAAGTTTATAGTAATGGGAAAGTCTATAATGCTTGGGAAGGAAATCGTTTTTAAAAAGAGAAATCTTGGACATTATCCTTTAGGAGCCCTGGTGGTGTATTGATTGGTTATTAGTTGGGCTTCTAACCACAAGGGCAGCAGTTTGAACTCTCGCTTGCTTCTTGGGAGAATGACTTGAATTTCAACTCCCAGAAAGAGCGCCAGTCTCAGAAACCTGCAGGGGGAGTTCTGTTCCGTCTGTAGACTTGCTATGAGCCAGGATTCACTCAATGGCAGTGAGGTTTTATGAGGTTTTTTTTGACTATACTGGTATAAGAATGCAAATTCCCATAAATGGTCTATTAATTTGTCAAGTAATAATCCAAAGGATGTGAATTTGCAAGCCTTTTGAATAGAAGAAAAAATATGGAATAATTAGATAATATATAAGGAGAGAAGAGGAAATATGAGCTCCAAACAGTATGCAATATTAATGACACTTTTCAATTGTTTGTTGCTATTTTTCATTTAAGTATTGACTGAAACAGCACGCGGTGCACCTGATATTAGAACTTTCATTGGACTTACAGCATCATATCTTCATTTGCCTTCTCTTGAGACTGACTACAGTTGTGATCATTTGCTGTTAAAAAAACACAAAAGATAAAACATATTTAAAAAGTATTTAGTATAACTTCATAGATACTCTCCAAAGCATTCTCAAAAAATGGGCTTAAATACCCAGCCACATGTTGATGATTATCTAAGCTTTAAAATAACTATCTCTGATTTTTCTCATCTCCGACCTTAAGCACTTATACAACATTAAAAATTACAAGAAAATACTAGCCACTTCGCTCATATCCAGAAAAGGGTCCTACAGGACATCTCTGCTTTCAGGAAACTGTTGGAAAAATAGTAATAATAGAATTAATTCCCCTTTCTTTCCTGGGGTTGTGCATTTTTCATTCAGTTTCTGAATTAGAGAGTCCAAGAAAAGGCAAAATAGAAGCGGAAACTCTAGAAGATGCCACAGGAAAAGCAAATGAAGCATTCAGAAACATATGTGGTCTAGCCAGGAGGGCCACATAGAACAACTGTTTAAAACAACCCTTGGGTAAAAATGTTCCAATGAAAACTATGTTATATATATAAAAAAAAGAGAAAACTATGTTATACACTAATTTGCAGTCTAACGTTATTATTTCTCCCATAATACATAACAGTGATCAATATCCACTGTCATAATTTTCTGTTAATACTATTTGAAATGAATTATAAACACCATGGTTCTTTATTACCTACATACCACAACATCATTATCTCATATTCTTAATTTATATGCAAGCATTCATTTTTCTCTTTATTCTATTTATGGAGTTGTGGAAGGAAAAAAATATCATAAGAATCTTATTACAAATATCAGAACTGACATTACAGAAATGAAGGGCACTACAACTCCATAAAACATTTTAATGAGAATTAACTTAGCGAATGAAGGTAATTCTGAGAAAGACAAGGCTTTCTACCTCCATAAAGTTGCAGTATCAAAACCCCACAGGAACAGTTCTACTCTGTCCCATAGGGTCGCTATGAGTTGGAATTGATTGAACGGCACGGAGTTTAATAAAGGTAATAGATGTTGTCTCTATCTGTGGTACCTAAAATTACATAAAAATGCGATAAGTTCATTTTGGAGATTTTATAAACAGAGGTAATGAGCAAATGTTCTATTCTGACACAAAAATGGGCTCTCAAAAAATGGTGGTTCTTATTTATATTTTAATTGTGGAACCACACAATTATCTTCAAGGAAGTAAATATTGAAAGGTTGAGGGTACACCCCTATGATCCCTAATTAATTTTAATATGTTATAATATACCAGTAATATCCAATAATTTATCAAATCCTTTTTGACCATATTTGATAAAACACATTGTTGATTGTTGAATGCTGGAGAGCGTTCACAGCAGTATCCATACGGTATGCACTACTTGCCCCATCTGAAGTAGGTATGGCAGTAAGCTATAGAACAGATCTAAGAAAAAGAATACGTCCAGCAATAATTACTCTGAAACAAAGGTGAGAAGATAAGGGGGCAGGTTAGCTAGAGTACTAGAAATAGAACAACCAGGACACAATTAAAGAGAATGCTGACAAAGTTTGAAAAAAGATTGAACTAATGTCACTCAATAGTTTGTGTAGAAATTGTCCAATGGCAGCCTGATATCCTATGTCAATTTTCATCAAAACCACAATAAAATATTAGTTACAAAGGAGTATTCCTAAATAGACTGCCTTAGATCACTAGTGTTATCGATCGATCGATCCATCCATCCATCGATCCATCGATCCATCCATCCATCCATCCATCCATCCAGAAAGAGATGTGTCAACAAACAATCCACATTTGCTCAGGGAATTGGATCTATGTGATTAACAAACGGAATGGCATCATTGATTTAATTTATACTATTAAAATATGAAAAACATAACTCCTTAGAAGGACAGCTATCACATGGAAGAATATAGAAGGGAAGAAAGACTTAAACATGACTACATACACATATGTTCATTGCCACTGAGTTAATTCTGACTCATAGCAGCCCTATCGGGTGAAGTAGAACTGCCTCTGTTGGTTTCCAAGACCGTAAATCTTTGTGGGAGTAGAGTGGCTGCTGGTTTTGAACTACTGACCTTGTGGGTAGCAGCCTAATGTGTAAACCACAACACCACCAGGGCTCCTTAAATAAGGCTAGGACAATCAAAATAGTCTTTGGGTGGAAACCAAGATGGTAGAAATTAGCACGAAAAGTCAAATAGGACAAAGAAAGAGGTAACTGGGCACATAGCTAGGCTATGTGTCTAAAAATAGTGCACATTTTAATGAGGTGTGTGTCCCAGTTATAATGAACAGTAGTAAAGGACACTTCTTTTTAAGGAGAAAACGCACAAAATCAGGAAATTACTAATATTTATAACATTCATCCCTTACAGAAGATTATAGGAGAACTGCAGAAACTTACAGGTAAAGAATAATATCAACATGAAAAAAACACAATCCTGACCTAATCCTGAAGAGGATGTCTATAAATGGATGTCTGCAGGCACAGGTGGTCCCAAAGTACTAGTCTTCCCTGCACTGATCACAATTTCTCCCCGCCTCCCCCCTGCCCATCTTCATTCGGTGTGTTTGCTGTTAGTGCAGTGATTTTCTGCATGTTCTTTGCTGCTTCATTGCAGTATCATGTTCTGTAATGTCATGTATGAAGAAAGAAATCCTAAGTTGCTACCCAAATGACTTCGCCATTAATGATCTCTTCCTTTTGGGGGAGTAAAAGTTATAAAAAATTTTAAATAGGTTTAAAGATTTAAAGAGATTTTAAAAGGGTGCAACACAGTGGCCTGGAGTGTTCCAAGCCTTTGATTAAATTAGGACATAGGACCATTTGTGATAGAAAATTCTATACAATTCTAGAGTGACATGTTTTTCCATGGTCAGTCTCAGGTAACTTTCATATACAAAGTACTGTCAGTATTTAAAAAATATATTTACATTTGTCAGAACCCTTAAAAATAATGATCTCAATCTTTTATCCTAGATAGATAGTCTGCATATACAATATAAAATATGATTTGACAATGATGCCATAACATTAAGTGCTCACAGTTTCTTTGGGGATACTCTTTATTCTTTAGCACAGGACTAATGACTTAAATACATATAATATAGATGCTGTTTGACCATACAATACTCTGTGTTGAAAACTTAACGGTTTTCATTAATTAATGCGCTTGGGTCCTGAGCAATCCAGAAAAGCGAATGTTGTACTCACTTCTGTTGGTTCTGCTGAGGCAGCCGCTAATTAACTTATCACTCATTTCCCCCAGAACCAGTGACATTACAGGAAGACAGGCTCCATTCACCAACGATGCCAGCAATCCCACAGTCATGAGCACGAGGTCCAGTCCATCAGCAAAGCGGAACTGAGAAAACAAAACACCGGTATGGCAGCCACAGGCACATTTGTTTGACCTCTGAGTAAATGCGGCTGTCCACATGGCCGGAAAGACTCAATAAACCTACAAAGTAATCTTAAGGCTTTGCATTCTATTTGAAAATGTTGTTGAAACATAAAGTAGCTAAAGTAGTACAAACTGTAGACTTGTGGCACAAGTTAGGCCACATATGGGTGTGAACCAGAAGCTGTCTTCCAATGGATTTATTCCACAATTAAGCTATTCCTAAAGACAGTGATGATAATATTTTGGCTTATGGAACATTAACCTGCGACCTTTTCTCAAATCTGCCGCAGGCTGCTTCTCCGCACCGCAGTGCCGATTCAGCAGAGCGGTGAAGGGCAGTGGTCTGCTTAGCAAATGCTGTGGGTTTGCTTCTGCATTCTTATTTGAAAGCCCGTGGAGTCAAGTAGAATTGTCAAGGCTGTTTGGCAAAAGAAAGGAACGCCTGAAAGCCAAATACTGGATGCTCTCCGTTTCATCCTGCAGCCTCCAAAGCACGGTTCCGAAACCAAAACACGAGCAAAACAAATGCTCCGTGAATGTAATTCCAAAGATGTCGGCAGGCACTAGACACGCTTTCTGACATTAAAAAAACACAACTGCTCCCCCCGAAAAGCCCAACTCCAAATCCACTACCGTCAAGATGATGCTGACTCAACAAGTAGCACTGTCCCATAGAGTTCCCAAGGCCGCAGTCGATAGCAAAGCAGACGGGCCCCCCTTTCTCCTTTGGAGCCTCTGATAGGTTTTTAAATGCTGACTTTTTGGCGCTTAATGACTGCTCCACATGGACTTCTTTTGTGATATATATATATGATTTATAAAATATTTAGATGCTTGTTCTTTTACTTAAAAAAGATTTATAATAACTTAAAAACAACATGTATCAATGTACAATCATTGGAGATCATTAAAATGTAAATGTAAGACAGTAAATGTCATTATAATCCATTAACTACTCACACAAAAAATCTGGAAACATTTATCTATTGGACAAAATGTACATATATATAGTCACTCTATAGACAATGACTTTTTTCTTCTCAATTTAACTTTGCAAGGCACCACCTCAAGTCACTAGACATTCTGTGTATTATGTGGTATGGGAAATGTGCTGTTTATTTTTCTCACCCCTCATCATGGAATTTTCAGATTTTTGATATACTTTTTTCCTATTGGAAATAACATGTGGGTGCACTTTTTCAAATAAGATACACACACACACACACACTACCAAGAAAACACAACCATTCCATTTACAACTCACAATTCCCTAAAATGTTCATATCGTATACTTTCCAGCTGATTGGACTTACGATCTCAATAGGTCCAACGGCTTGTGGTCTCACTTTGGGCGATTCTTGCAGTGTTCTAGAAAATGAATGTTTACAATGGAAAGGTTATGCTATGACTACGATGTGCAAAAATGTCCAGGTAGGTTTAATCTTTTGTTGTTGTGGTTGCTGTATTGGACTCATGTTGACCAGGGGTGTGTCCTCAATAGGGTTTCCCACACAGTGACCTTTTAAAAGCACCCCCCAAGACTGTTCTTCCAGGGTGCCTCTGGGTGGGTCTGGAGGGCCAAACTTTGGGTTAATAGTTGCCTTTGATATCAAATTTACCTCAATAATGAACTTAAAAAAATAATGTTGATGGAAAATGCAAAGAGTTTTAGTATAATCACAAGTAAACCAACTCTTAGCGGCTGTTCCTAAGGTTTTAGTGTAACACCTGAAGACACTCCTCTGAAGCAAATTTTTAACTCATTTTGACAGATTATTCCAGAGCAACCATGAGTTTTTAATAAGTGGAGGCCTATGAAGAACATATTAAACAAGTATACTCTGCATCTTGTTCCCCATTTAAAATGTCCACTTCCTAACACATTGTCAGGAGATCCAAATGAAAGTTATAAATGAGCTCTTTTCAGGTCAAGGAAATTCATTTATTAAACACACACATACCGTTTCTAAAACGTTAAAACAATACTGGCAGTGAACACATTGCTTTCTAAAATTCCATCATATGACTGAGCACTCCTGACTCTTCTCTCCAGCTGTGTAACATATTGTTCTGCCAGGTTGGATGGCTGACTAGTCATTGAATTTTATCCCACCAGAGGCTAATAATTTACTTATGTACTGGAGGACCGATTCACTCTGAGACTATGCACGGATGATAAAACACGCTTCAAGGGTGTAAAGCCCCACTACCGCTCTTCTTGTCCAAAACTTGGACTTTAAAGCCTACAACTTAGTAAGTTCTTCTTTCTTACGTTTTGTTTCAGGGAAACCATTTCTGACCCTTGATGACTTTCATTATAAACCTTCAAAGCATGACTCCAGGATTAAAAAAAAAATCTCTTTTCTACCATGGTTCAGAGAAGGAAGCAGGACAGGGATGGTAGGACCGGCTTAGAGGTCTCCCCACCCTTTAAGACTTCAGGGCCACCACCCTGGGACCCCCAGATGGGCAGTGCCTAAAGCATAAGGAGAGGGTGTTCTTCCAGGGAGCCGCTGCGTGGGTTTGGAGGGCCAAACTTTGGGCTAATAGTTGCCTTTGGTATCAACTTGACCTCAATAATGAACTTAAAAAAAATAATGTCGATGGACAATGCAAAGACTTCTAGTATAGTCACAAGTAAACCAACTCTTAGCGGCTGCCCCTAAGGTTTTAGTGTAACACCTGGAGACACTCCTCTGAAGCAATTTTTAACTCATTTTGACAGATTATTTGAGAGCAACCACGAGTTTTTTAATAAGTGGAGGCCTATGAAGAACATATTAAACAAGTATACTCTGTTCTAGGTGTTGGGTTTACAAGTTGGAAGGGCAGGCCCCCCAAACATAGACCCTCTTCTGATTTCACTTTTTGTGGTTCATTCAGCCCTTGTCTTCCATTGTCATAATGAGTTTCTTTCATATCATTTTCTCCCATTCTTTCACCTCCAAATGAAATGAGGTGTCGTTTCCCTCTTCCTTATGAATATTAGCAAAATTAACCATGCCCCCAACAAATTTTCTGAGCAGTTGCACATAGCCGCCACACTCAATTGCTGTTGTCCTTCTATGGACCGGTTGTCTTTTTCTGTCCATCACTATTTCTCAAGAACCCTTGTGAGGGAGGTAGTACCTGGGTGCGAAAATGGCTAATGTATGTGGCTGCCGATGGAAAAGGTTGGAGCTTTAGTCCACCCAGAGGTGCCTTGGGAACAAGGCCTAGAAATCTCCTTCCCTTATTCATTGTGGACTCTGTGGAGCACAAGCCAACCTTGACAGGCACGAAGTTGCAATGAGTCAGAATTGACTCTGGCTACTGGCTAGTATGCTGTTGACCATTTTATAAGACCTTGAACTCCTGAGTTGTTAAACAGCCCAACTTTACATATCCAGTACCTGGACTTGAGTCTTACTCCAGAGTCTAAACTCTCAACTCTTGGCCGCTTTATGCCGTGAGGAAGAGCATTCCAAAACTAAAGTTCTTGAAACGTCCAGCTACTCTCCAAACCAAATCACTCCTTGTCCTTAGTGACTCGATTTAGAACATGCCTGCCATGAAATACAGCTGGTCCCTTTGGTAAACACTTTACACGGTGCCTTTAACCTGGATGCAAACTGTTCCTACAGAAAAACGCAGTGTTTCCTGCCCCGCTTTCCTCAGAGGTGACCTTGTGAGTCTAGAAACAGCCAGTGTTAAACGATGGCTCAACTTGACCAAGTGTTCAGCACTGTGTTCAGCACATGGCTTGAGCTGGCAAGCAGATTCTAAGAAAATAGACCCTTCAACACTACTTGTCATTTTTCAATATTTGTTCTAATCGGCTTAGCAATGATTAAGATAGCTGATGTGAAATAAGGACAAAGTAAGGACTTTAAAAAAAAATACACCCCCACTTTCTCTCCTGAACCACTAGAATAGTTAACATTTTTTACTTTCCACTCTCCTATTCCTTCACCAAACTCATGGCTTTTATGTTTCAGTCGAACTCTCCATCACAAAGCTAAAGCCCCTCACTTGAACGCGGGCTGCTCACACAGGTTGGGGGTCAGCCCAAATCCTGTGTTACCTGGGCCGGCTCTGACCAAGGAAGACAGCGCCAGATGCTGGCCAACTGCTGCCTCGGAACCAACGACTTGGTAGACGTTCATTGGTCAAAAATGCTGCCGATGTGCCTCCCTTATTTGTGGTTTATGCCTTTCTGAACCGCGGCGACTCATTAGCTCAGCAAGGTACTTTGTCAAGTGCTTGTCAGCTCCGTTTCCCTGTTTTGCAAAACACTCTTATGCTGTCGTCAATGATTCGTTTTCCGTTTTAAACAGCTCCTGCCCTCCCCATCACACTAGCACAGAGACCTCTTGGGAAATCAGTGCTGAAAATATGATTCCGTTCTCAGATAATGCTTAGTGTATCACTGTATTCCGTAATAGATTTGTGTTCTCATCACCTCTTCTATCAGAATTTACTGGATCTGCTTTGGGCTGAGAAGCAAAAGATGTTTGGATACTATGGTCCAAAGATATAGGTTCAGTCTACCTTAAAGTGGAGGAATGATTAAAGGAGAGCTAGGAGGTGTGAGATGTAGCTCTCTGTTTTCCAGAGTGTTCAGAAGAAGAATTTATTTCAGCTTCAAGAAGGTTCTCATCAACACATGCTAAAACTTGAGAAAATGGTGTCGAGGGAGCTCCTTTCTGGTTATTTGTATCCCTGCAGTAATGAAACCAGAGATCTAGAGGGGAGCCTCCAGGCTTATAGTTGGCACACTTATGTTATTCTAGTTAATGTGGAAATGAACTAGATTGAAAAAAGTTTCCATTGTAAAGCTTCAATTAATTCATTGTTGTTGAGGATGTTTTATAATATAACTATGCACATTAGGGTTCACGTGAACTAATAATTAGAATCCAACATCTTTTTAAAAATTATCTCTACCCCATGGAATGAAGCGTCTATAAAGAAATGAAATGGAAATATCCAGACACCTTCCCCCTACAAATCGGTAAGCCACAAGAAATGTATGAAATTGAGAAGAAGTAGCTGAAGAGTTAAATTCAACCCTGCCGTGATTACCAGTCCTAAAAGCACCATGACACCAACAGTAACATCGGTCATACTAAAGTCTAATACAAGACAAATAACACGTTTGGAAACAATTCTAAGCATTTTTGTTAAATCTATGAAAGGAAGCAGCATAACTGAAGTTGTAGAAGAAACACTTTTTGCAGAATTTGGGGAAAACTTACCCATTTCTCGGATAATTTTCTTGCCTCTCTTCAGCTCTCTCAGCACTTGCCATCTTACTTATATAATTCAAGTTCTTGGAAATAAAATACTAAAACATGAAATAAACTATTAGGAAACACAACTGGGGTATTTTATAATCTAATTTATATAAAACATTCTTTACGTCCCTGACAGGTACATAAAGAACATTTTTTAAAATTTAATTTTAAAATTAAAGTTAATTTAAAAAATGAAACTAAAAAAGTGCTGCTCAGAATTTTACCACCTCCTTTTTCCCTCTCCCCAGCTAAAGTGTCTGTTTTGATATTTTGTGTATTCTGATATTTCCACTGAATTTCTAATGTTGACCTCCTGTAGGGCTTATTTTTGGAGCTAGTAACATATTTAGCTTTGCAAGAAAGAAGGAATGTCAGTAGACAATGTATTGTTTTTAGGACTGAATTTTTTTTCTCTTTCTGCCACTGATTTCATTGTGATTGATGTAAACCTTTCTAGGACCTCATGCTTAGCTCGCCCTATAAAAATGGCACAGTGGTTTCTGAGGAACCAGGGCTTTCTAGTTCACCAATCAGATCTGCAAGTTAGAACTTCTGCTGCATGTGTCTTAATAGTTACCAGAAGGAAACTGTTAAAGTGCCTTCCGTGTGAAAGCTAGGTGAAGCATAATGTATTCTTCCCTCGGATGCCACAGCAGGATCATAGGTAGTCTTACTTTGACAAAACCAAACCAAACTCACTGCCTTCAAGTTGATTCTGACGCAGTAACCGTATAGAACAGGGGAGACCTGCCCTTGAGGGCAACTTGTTACGGGATTGGAAAGCCCCTTCCTGGTGGTTTTGAGGTTCACAGCTCAACTCTTTTTAAAGAGCATAGTTTTGTACATAATTATCACTTCATACAGACATATAGAGAACTGTATGACTGGACCTCCGTGTTAAGCCTTGTAACATAAGGTCCAATGAACTAAATAAGAATAATCTGAATTTAACATTCAGAGTGGAATTGCTAATTCACTAAGGAGTACCTTGGGAGCCCTGGTGGCTCTGTGGAATAAGCATTGGGTTGTTAACTACAAGGTCAGTGGTTCAGAGCCACCAGCCACTCAGGGGGAGAAGGCGGAAGCGATTTGCTCCCATACAGACTGACAGTCTTAGAGGAGCCCCGAGGAGTGGCTCTACTCTGCCCTACTCGGTCATTATGAGCCAGTATAGACTCAGTGGCAGAAAGCTCAAGCATTTTCAAATAGAAAACTTCTCTATGAGAGAATAATCCCGAATGGGCATGAACAGTTTTAGCTATTACAAAGGAAGATACAAATACAGTGATCCAAAGGCATATTCTTTGCTTTTCAAAAGTCAAGAGTCAGAACGTTCAATAGGATATCTTTCCACTTGCTAGGTTGACTGGATATCCTCTCCAGTCATTTGACATCTAAGGAAGAAAAGCAACACTATCAATAATTTCTTTCATAGAAATAAATATTAGTTAAGAAAAAATCACTTCAGATAAATACGTTTCAGTTTCTGCCTCTCTCTTAAGATCATAGTGTTGATACCCAGATAATCCACATAATATCATATAATAATCAGTAATTAATGTTTCACAGCATCCAAGGAGAGAAAACTCCAAGCCAAGATGGACACTCAGACTAACTTTGACAACTGGTAAAAGACAAACTAAAAAAGAGGCCATTAAAACAATTGAGACTCACCTTGGTACGTGCATTATCTGCCCATTTGTACCAGAATCTTATGTGGTTTCTCTCCTCAGCAGATAACCAACTACCCTTTCAGGATGGTACCTCTGAAGCCTATTTTCTGATCACACTGTGTTATCTGATTAAAAAACCAGCAAATTCCCTGGGAAAGCACACCCAGTTCTTCATGTCCTACTTCATTTAGAAGACAAGTTGACCAGAGAAAACTCACTGAGCCACGGAAAGTCCTCATTTAAAACATATATGTGGACACACATATATATATTTATATGCAGGCATGCCTCTGAGATATTGTGGGGTCTGTTCCAGAGCACTGCAATGGAGTGAATATCACACAAAATTGAGTCACACCATTTTTTCAATTTGTCAGTGCATTTGAAAGTTATGTTTACACCCCTCCTGTGTTCTACTAGGGAGCCCTGGTGGTGGAGTGGTTACAGGTTGGGCTGCATTTGCAAGGTCCACAGCTTGAGACCACCAGCAGCTGCCCTGGGAGACAGACTGGGCATTCTACTCCCAGAAACAGTTACTGCCTCGGGAACCCACAGGGCGGACGCTGTGAGTCAGCATTGAGTCCATGGCAGTGAGGGGTTTTTTTCTTTTGTATCCTAGTACGTGTACAAAGCCCTATGAAACAGTTTGAAATATTGCGAGAATTACCACAGTGTGACACAGACACAGGGAGGGTGGGCACCGTGTTCAAAAAATGGCATCGGTTAACTTGCTCTACAGAAGGTGAGCATAAATCATCAGTTTGTTAAAAAAAAGAAGAAGCTTAATACAGCAAAACTCAATAGGATGAGATATGCTTGCACCCAGTTTCCTATTGCGTGGTCCCATAATACCATTTCAGTTAGCTGAAAGGGCAGTTTTCATAATGTCTAAAACAGAGCTCTACCAAGTCAGGGGCACAAGGGGGGACCCTGGGCACAAGGGAACAAAACACTGCCTGTTCTGGCACCGTCCGCAATTGTTCCCAGACTTGTGCCCATTGTTGCAGCCACGGGGTCAATCCATCTCCTGGAGGGTCTTCCTCTTTTTTGTTGTCCCTTCACTTTGCCAGGCAGGCTGGCCTTCTCCAGGTCTGCTCTCTCCTGACAACAGTGCCCTGTGCTGCTGTCAGAGGGTAGGTTTAAAGATCAGAATTTACTTTCTCATCGCTGTGGAGACTGAAAGTCTAAACTGGTGACTAGGCTGTGTTGATTCCATACCTAGCCCAAGGTCTCCTTGGCTCCTTATTTGGCATCCAGCATCTCTAGGATAGCATGCTGCTTTGTCTAATCTTTTTGTAGGTCAGGATGGATTCTGTGTATGATACAGCATGTGCTGGCATTAGCTCATTCACACAGCCAAATAAAAGCCCATTTCTAAATGGCATCACACTCACAGCTATCTTGTGGCTGGGTGCTACCTCGTAGCTTTCTACTCCTATCGAGCCTAGAAGGGAGAGCAGGCCTGCCCTAGAGGGTCTAGGAGGATGCCATCTGTATAGGGCTCAAAGTCAGGTCTTTTCTCCCTCTGCGTATTTTGTGGTCTTGAGCCACTGGCCTTTCAGCTAGCAGCCGAGTGCTTGACCATGGCTACATTAGGACTCCAACACATATTTTTGGGCCTAACATTCAATCCATAACATTCTACTCTTTGGCCCCTGAAAGTATCATGCCCTTTCTGCATGCAAAACACACACCTCAAGTAAAAGGAAATAGAGGAAAGAACTAGAAGGCAAAGGGAATTTGTAGAGGTCTAAATACAGGCATGTACATATGTACATATACTTATATATGATGATGGGGAAATAGATCTCTGTGCATATATTTATAGGTTTAGTATTAAGGTAGCAGATGGACATTGGGCCTCCACTCAAGTACTCCCTCAATGCAAGAAAACTTTTTTCTGTTAAACTGGCATTCCATGATGCTCACCTTCCTGATATGATTGCTGAAGGCAAATGTGTGCATAAGCAAATGTGGTGAAGAAAGCTGATGGTGCCTGGCTATCAAAAGATATAGTGTCTGGGGTCTTAAAGGCTTGAAGATAAACAAGCAGCCATCTAGCTCAGAAGCAACAAATCCCACATGGTAGAAGCACACCAGCCTGTGTGATCACGAGGTGTCAAATGGATTAGGTATCAGGCATCAAAGAACAAAAAATCATATCATTGTGAATGAGCAGGAGTGCAGAGTGGGGACCCAAAGCCTATCTGTAGGCAACTGGACATCCCCTTACAGAAGGGTCATGTGGAGGAGATGAGCCAGTCAGGGTGCAGTGTAGCAATGATGAAACATACAACTTTCCTCTAGTTCTTAAATGCTTCCTCCCCCCCGCCCCCACTATCCTTATCCCAATTCTACCTTAAAAATTCAACTAGATCAGAGGACGTACACTGGTACAGATAGGAATGGAAACACAGGAAATCCAGGACAGATGATCCCTTAGGACCAGTGCTGAGAGTGGTGATACCGGGAGGGTGGAGGGAAGGTGGGGTAGAAAGAGGCAACCAATTACAAGGATCTAATGAGGAGCTGATACCAGGGGCTCAAATAGAAAGAAAATGCTTTGAGAATGATTATGGCAACAAATGTACAAACATGCTTGACTGTGGATGGATTGTATGCATTGTGATAAGAGTTGTATGAGCCCCCAATAAAATAATTTTAAAAAGCAACGAAAACACACACCTGTCACATCAAAAGTCTTAACTCATAGAACATCTCCTCTAAGTTCAAAACTCATCTTTTGACTTATCTGAATCAGGCAAAGGTGAGGACCCTCAGGGTGTTCCCTCGGGGCAAAATTCCGTTCCATCTGTGGACCCAGGAAACCTTAAAATATGAGTTATCTCACTCCAAAGTCCAGTGGTTGGGCAGGCTAGAGTAGGTATTCCCAGGGAGAAGCTGGCGGGAAAGAGGACTTCATAGGAAACAAATCCAGCAGAGCAAATTCCACTAGCTCTCAAGGCGTCTGATTAAAGGAAGAGGCTATACTTTCTCTTAGAATTTTTGCTTTGTTGAAAGGGTTATTTTCGAGTTACAGATGGACATATGTATTTTTTCTTATAGCTCTCTTTTGTGCATATAAAATAAATTAAGTAAATTGGTTAAAATATCTGTAAAACTTGATACCTAGAGACATTTTCTACCCAAAATCCCCTTTTTGGACTCAGATTCCTGTAAGGCGTTTGGTGGCGCAGTGGTGAGATGCTCAGTCGCAGCTGGAAGGGTCAGCTGTTGGAAGCTACCAGTAATTTGGTTGGAGAGAAGAGACCGGAGCCCTGCTCCTGTCAGGATTTCAGCCTGGGAAACCCTGCGGGTCAGTTCTGCTCTGTTTTGTAGAA